GCATATATATTAATTTAATAACCCCCCTAATGTGTAGAGGATCGATTTGTGAGATTAAGAGATTATTGCAGAAATACAGTCCACTTATCATTATACAAATTGCTATCGAAGTATATAAATTAACGTAAATATAAATTCATATAAATTAAATAAAGTTTAGCAGCCTGCAGTGTTGTGGTAGTTTCAGCCTCATTATTCTTTCCATTAAACAGTTGAAGAGAAGGGGGCTGAAAATGCCTCCTTGCGGTGTACCATTTTCAAGTCTTTTGTTTTCAGAGACTGTGCCATGAAGTTTCACTCTTGCTTCTCTGTTTTTGGTCCAGGAGAGCAGGTTGCTCTTGACCTCTTTGTCGATGAGGCAGCAGAAAATAGCTGAGGCGCTAGCCAGTTAAAAGGCTTTCTCAAGGTCCAGGAATATGAGTATTCCTGGTCTGTTATTCAGGTGGGCTAACAGAGTTGTAATACATTCCACTGTGCCAATCCCCTTTTCTACAGGCATACATATCCTGGTGCAGTTTAAGCATTTTCCATTCAAGTCTGTTTAGTGCCATTCTGTCAGCCGTCTTGGCTGCACAACTTTGGAGAGAGATGGATTAGCTGGATCTTTGGGTTTTGGGATTGGCACTATGTCTGCCGTATTCCACGCTGTAGGTCTAGTTTGAGAAGTCCAAGGTAAATTAATTAACCTTAGTTATGCAGTGTCTCCCTCTGGGACGAGGTTTCTAATAATTTTATTGGTTATTTTGTCGTCTCCAGGGGATGTATCTTTGGAGTTCTTCTTAGACCGATTGAGCTCATCCAGTGTGAAAGGGGTATTAGTGTCAGAGGCTTCTGAACGTACTGTTAAGATTCTATGCCACCCTTCTTCCTCTGTTCCTTTCTGCACTGCTAGTACATTGGTGGAAGCTGATTAGTGGCTGCTCTTCCAGCAAATTTGGTTGCCAGTACTTCGGCTTCCTGTTGAGGATCCTTAGGGTGCGGGGCTTATGGTGTTTTATTTCCTTTGGCCCTGTGGATTTGCTGCCTCATCTCTCCAAGAGAGGTGTGTGTTTATTCAGTTGTGAACACCATTCCAGCCACTTTAGTTCTTTGATGATCCTGGTCTCTTGATGCACATGTTCCTTGACCTCACAAAGTAGGGTCCTCTTGAGATCACTTGGCTGCTAGAGGTCACTATAGGGTTCCGCTAGAGGTCACTATAGGGTTCCGCTAGAGGTCACTATAGGGTTCCGCTAGAGGTCACTATAGGGTTCCGCTAAAGGTCACTATAGGGTTCCGCTAAAGGTCACTATAGGGTTCCGCTAGAGGTCACTATAGGGTTCCGCTAGAGGTCACTATAGGGTTCCGCTAGAGGTCACTATAGGGTCCCGCTAGAGGTCACTATAGGGTTCCGCTAGAGGTCACTATAGGGTTCCGCTAGAGGTCACTATAGGGTTCCGCTAGAGGTCACTATAGGGTTCCGCTAGAGGTCACTATAGGGTCCCGCTAGCGCAGGTTTAATTAAAGAAGCAAATTTTAATTATCTAAATTGGCTTCATAAATAAAAAATTTCTGACCCACATATTTGTTCATATTCCATTGATTTATCTTGTGCTTTTTTTTTAACACTGTCAAATTTTTGTGTGTGTTTACAGATAGTTGACTTTCTATGATTAATAAATATAATAATTTTTTAGATAATTAAAAATATATTTTATATAATACTTTTTTATGCAGGGGTTCCTTGAGACATGTAAAGTATTTCAGAGAGATGCCACAAGGCAGAAGAGGTTGAGAAACTGGACATTTTGTGCACCAAAGTATCTCTTTGCTGAGAGATGCACTCAGCTTCTCTGTTTTTACTAAGACATCAGTTTTGACTTGAATTACTTTGAGGCCATAATTATACTTGCTTGTTGGGCAAGTAAACTATTGTAATTACCCTCTAGGGTAATTTCAATAGGCGATTGTAATTACCCTCTAGTGGTTGATAGGCTACAAGCCTAATACCAGTCCAATCAGAACCAGTTTCTGTTGCTATGGAGAAAGTCGGTGACCCGAACGAAACATTAAGCATAGATGTCCTGAGCTACACAGATGCTTCTATATTGGTGCGGAGTCTTGAAGTATATAATCTTATTACTTACACACAACAATCTTATAGTTGTGTGTGTGTGTAAACTAAAGTCTTTGAAAATGTAATAAGTTATTACGAAACGCGTCAGACTAGAAATAAAAAAATGAATTTTGGAGAATTGATCTTTCAATTACCATCGACAATGAAAAGAAACATAAGAAATATTGAGAAAATTCGTGTTAGAATTATTAATCTTACTTTTTCGGTCATATTTAATAATATATACATATATATACATACATACATATATATATATAATTATATTACATATTACGGTCACTATGGATCAGTAACCGGGTTTTTGATGAGTGAACCTTGTTTGTCGAATCCAACCCCCAAGTCGGTAGTACGCTTTCAAGATTTGGCTATATAGTGCAATAAATAAGGGGGGGGGGGATGAATAAAACTCTATTCCCTTATGTACATAGGTGTCTCTTTCACTCGGGACACCTGGCGCTCACATGCAGTGTTCGCCAACTCCAGCCTTTCCCCCACTCAGTACCTTTTCCAACCGTACTGGGAAACACTGGCGAGTTCACCTTTTACGTGGGCCAGCCCACTGACAGTATCACGAGGTGCCTATAACCCACGACCACTTTCAGCCACTCGCTGGCAGAGGACCTCAGCCACATGCTGATCAGGGCCACAAAACGACCAATACAGGGTGGGTAGCGAACCCCTGGCAGAAGCCTCTAGCGACTGGCTAGCAGCGCTTCCCAGCAGGCACCTCACTGTCGACCGTTTCTCCCCTAAGCTAATCCCGGGGTACGCCGATCTTTTCCAATACTACGTAAACAGCAGTCAACACACTGCTTCAGATCAGTGGTAGCTTACTTAGTCGTCTTCCAGGACTAAGTCAAGAGAACGTAGGATCCCCAAGGTAAACTGCTTCCTCCTGTACTGCTGCCTCCAGAAGTCGCCTCTGTGGACATAACACGTCATCAGTTAAAATGGACGGTACTGGGAAAACCATGATATAACACTCACTCACTGGGGGAGTTGACATTATGCACGCAGCATAACCTAGGTGGTGCTGATCTTGATCCGCCACTTCACCAGAGGTCATCAACAACGACCTCTCTGTCTAGCCAAGGCAGGAAACTGGAGCCATTTGCTGCTGTCTCGCCACCACCAATAGATGGTGTTGTATACGTAGCGTCCAATATCAGGGGAATTTGAGTGCAGACTCATAGATGGCGCTGAAATTACTAGGCCACACTCGGACGGTGGTGACGAGTCCGTAACAATATATATATGCAAACAAGCTTGAATGGTTCCCCAAGCATATATGCGACTGAAAACTCCATCCCCATAAGTGACTCGAACCCAGACAGCCAAGAGCACAATGCAACTGGTGTACATGGTACCTTAACCACTAAACCAACCGTGACCATACAAAAAACAATTGTAGCCGAGGCTATTTCCCCCACCGTCCCGACGGCACTTGATGGTAATCTTGGGCATAGTTATTTCATATCACCTCACTATCTTCCTTGTGTTCCTAGCTGTCTGGTTCGAGTCACTTCTGGGGTGTGGAGTTTTCAGTCACATATTTGCTTGGGGACCTTTCAAGATTGATTGCACTTGTGTTGCTCACCTCACAACATGAGGCGATTCCTCACTTGGAAGGCTTCCCCACCTAGAAGCCTTCCCCATCTGGAAGCCTTCCCCCACCTAGAAGGCTTCCAAACCTGGAAGCCTTCCCCCACCTAGAAGGCTTCCATCACCTGGAAGCCTTCCCCCACCTGGAAAGCTTCCCCCACCTAGAAGGCTTCCATCACCTGGAAGCCTTCCCCCACCTGGAAAGCTTCCCCCACCTAGAAGGCTTCCATCACCTGGAAGCCTTCCTGCGTGCGGGCGCTAAATTTAGTCCCCCTTGGAAATTGATATTTAATGTGAATCTATATCATAACAATTGCTGCTATGTTAGAGGAAATGAATCGCAGTAAAATTTTGCAATTTAAATGTTAAGATCCTTCATCATAAGAAAAAATCTCTTAAGGAATGGACGTACTTTCTAATATATACGCAAGTGGCGCCTAAGTAACATGGGATAGTGCTTGGTCATCATTACTTTCTGGTACATTACTGCCTAACTCACGACAGACATACCATGATTGTGTAATTTACAGAATTACAATGAGAAATGTGGAATGTGAATTTGCCTTTAGCTATACCGTTAATATAATCAGTGTTATCCCCGAGCATATTTAACATTTACGTCATCAGAAGAGGTGAAGTAGAGCTGTCAGTGATGCAGGGCCTCTAAGGCGCCCAGAGTGTCATACTGAGGCAAGCACGTTAAAAACGACAAAATCGGCGGTTCATATCCTTCTATGGCAATTGTTTATACAACATGCTTAGCTGCACAGAAGCTTCAAGTTAACATTATTTATAGCAATTTAAGCGAAAATAATATAATAATTAGTTTATCGGTTAGAGCTAATGAAAGGTTCACGACTGGTCGCGCGCCTGGCAGCGATGCTGAGTGCTCACTTTCTACTGCCGCGTTGAGCTCACCCTGGGAGTAGTCCTGCCCCGGGACCACTCGCCTCCAGGAGGAACCTGTACGTCCAGATCTTCCCAGTCCCGTCCATCCACTCCCTTATTACCCCATCACATTCCCATGTTGTCTTCTCCCCCATCCACCTTTCCAGCGTTAGGAAATTGGTACTTTTATAGTTAGAGGTCTTGTATTTTAAGATTATTTGGGGGAATTTTCCTATGAGAAATTATGAATTGATGATCGGGCCACTAGGACGGGCCCCAGGCTCGGGGGAGGAGCGGGGGTGTTATACCAGCCTTAACAGTTAAGGTCACACTCAACACACACACACAACCTCCACCTGTGACGTGCACATGACCACAGTAAGGTCTCCCACCGTCACGGTAATGTTCCCACCGTCACAGTAATGTTTCCACCGTCACAGTAAAGTCTCTCAGGGCCTCCGTCAGTGTTGGTTGATGCTTCAGGGCCTCCGTCAGTGTTGATTGATGCTTCAGGGCCTCCGTCAGTGTTGGTTGATGCTTCAGGGCCTCCGTCAGTGTTGGTTGATGCTTCAGGGCCTCCGTCAGTGTTGGTTGATGCTTCAGGGCATCCGTCAGTGTTGGTTGATGCTTCAGGGCCTCCGTCAGTGTTGATTGATGCTTCAGGGCCTCCGTCAGTGATGGTTGATGCTTCAGGGCCTCCGTCAGTGTTGGTTAATGCTTCAGGGCCTCCGTCAGTGATGGTTGATGCTTCAGGGCCTCCGTCAGTGATGGTTGATGCTTCAGGGCCTCCGTCAGTGTTGGTTGATGCTTCAGGGCCTCCGTCAGTGTTGGTTGATGCTTCAGGGTCTCCGTCAGTGTTGATTGATGCTTCAGGGCCTCCGTCAGTGATGGTTGATGCTTCAGGGCCTCCGTCAGTGTTGGTTGATGCTTCAGGGCCTCCGTCAGTGTTGGTTGATGCTTCAGGGCCTCCGTCAGTGTTGGTTGATGCTTCAGGGTCTCCGTCAGTGTTGGTTGATGCTTCAGGGCCTCCGTCAGTGTTGGTTGATGCTTCAGGGCCTCCGTCAGTGTTGGTTGATGCTTCAGGGTCTCCGTCAGTGTTGGTTGATGCTTCAGGGTCTCCGTCAGTGTTGGTTGATGCTTCAGGGTCTCCGTCAGTGTTGGTTGATGCTTCAGGGCCTCCGTCAGTGTTGGTTGATGCTTCAGGGCCTCCGTCAGTGGTTGAGAATAGTAACATTGCATCATAGTGCGGTAACTCTTGTGAGAATGAATTATTTATATTATGTATAAAGCTCCCAGCTCCATGATGCCCCACTACGACCAGCAGCGCCTCGCAAGCCTCGATGTTGTAACCTTTGGAGGTTAGGAAGTCATGACCTTTCGGTGTCTAGATATCATGACCTTTGTAGGCTTCGAAGTTATGAATTTTGAAGGACGGGAAGTGCTGATCTTTGGAGGACTGGAGGTCATGACCTCTCTGGGTTTGGATGTCGTGACTTTTGAAGGACTGAAAGTCATGACTTTTGTAGATCTTGAAGTTACAATTGATTACCTTTGGAAGGCATGTGTGCCCTCTATAGATAGGTGATGACTTTTGGCGAACGGAAAGAATGATGACTTTTTAAGGGCTAGACGAGTGATGACGTTTCGAGGGCTTAACGATTGATGACCTTTAGAAGACGGGACGAAGTATGACGATCGGATAGTGGAAAGAGTGATGACCTTTGAAGGACTGAACAAATGGTGACCTTTGGAGGACAGGACAAATGACTGCGTTCAGAGGACGAAAAAAAAGTGACGACTTTTAAAGGACTGACCGTGTAAGGATTTGGAGGCCGGATAGGGTGAGGACATTGTGCCAGCTGGAACTCAGAACTCAGAACCAAATGTTCATGTAGCACGGGCTATAGTGAGCCCGTAATGGAGTTCGGTTATTCGCGACAATCTTGTTACTGTGATATTTGGGGGTCAAAGTTTTAAATGGAGGTGGGGTTTCCTCTTTTTTCCCTGTTTCTTTTCCGCTTCTGTTTTAGCGCACTAGTTTTTAGTCTTGTTTTAATAACATTTTCTTGGTGGCGGATGTAAATGCACAGTGTTCACTAGTGTGTCCCATCTTCTTGAGGTTATCTTGAGATGATTTCGGGGCTTTTAGTGTCCCCGCGGCCCGGTCTTCTACCAGGCTTCTACCCCCAGGAAGCAGCCCGTGACAGCTGACTAACACCCAGGTACCTATTTTACTGCTAGGTAACAGGGGCATAGGGTGAAAGAAACTCTGCTCATTGTTTCTCGCCGGCGCCTGGGATCGAACCCAGGACCACAGGATCACAAGTCCAGCGTGCTGTCCGCTCGGCCGACCTGCTCCTCCCATTCTTCAACTGCTTTTCTAATAATTGTAGTCGCTGTGGAATTTGCATCTAATGCAGCTGCTGTCGTTGGATTAAGGTTGAGTTTGATGCGCAGGGCTTCAGTAGCTTCACATTCCAGTAAGTAGTGCAATAGTGGCGCCTCTGCTTCTGTTCCACATATATAACACTCTTTAACTATTGGGTTTATTTCCTCCCAGCAGCACTTGTAACCAAGTCTGAGTCTGTGTATGGCTACCACAATGTCTCTGGATATCTTTTTGTCAGGCTTGAAAGAGTAGTACCCAGTGGCTTGTTCGTACCACATCGCAGTGGATCTTCCTTTCGCTATTTTGGCTCTGTGGCGACTTTTGATAGTTGGAGAGTATTTTCTTCTTGATTTTCTCCTTAATCTGTGAAAACTTAGAGGTAGTTTAACCTGTACAACAGGTAGAGCAGTGGCAGTTTTTGCAGGTGAGTCTGCCTTTTCATTACCATCTATGCCAGTGTGACTTGGTATCAAATTTATGGTGATTGACAGCCCTAGATTGAGTGCTTATTTTCCTATATGTAGGATTTCTGTGATGAGTTGTGATTTCTGTTTGCAATGTTGAGCACCAATTATTCATGCTCCAGTAAGCTTTATGGTTGTTTCCTTGTGCGAGTACCACCCGTGTTAAATAATATGTCCTTATCTACCCCTGTCAATTCTCCTGAGAATTTTTTATGTGGTGATCATGTCTTCCCAACCTCTTCTGCCTTCCCGCGATGTGAGATGCAATTCACGTAGCCTTTCCTAGTAACTCACACCTCTTAGTTCTGAGACTAGCTTGGTGGCATACCTTTAAATCTTCTCCGGCTTCGTCTTATGCTTGATAAGGGATGGATTCAATGCTGGAGCTGCATACTCTAGGATTGGTCTGACATATGTGGTAAACAAGGTGCTAAATGTTTCCTGACACAAATTTCTAAAGGCAGTTTTGATGTTAGGCAGCCTCGCATACGCCGCTGATGATATTCTTTCGATATGGGCATCAGTGTGTATTCACATAGTTGTGCTTGCGGGGGTTGAGCTCTGTTCTTTCGGCCCGCCTCTCAACTGTCAATCAACTGTTACTAACTACTAACTCCCCCCCCACACACACACACCCAGAAAGCAGCCCGTAACAGCTGCCTTACTCCCTGGTACCTATTTACTGCTTGGCAAACAGGCACATCAGGGTGAAAGAAACTATGCCCATCTGTTTCCGCCGGCAACAGTGTGTGTGTGTGTGTGTGTGTGTGTGTGTGTGTGTGTGTGTGTGTGTGTGTGTGTGTGTGTGTGTGTGTGTGTGTGTGTGTGTGTGTGTGTGTGTGTGTGTGTCTGTGTGTGTGCGAGTCGGAGGGCGGGGGGCGAGGGGTGAGTGTGGGGTCGGGGTTAGGGAAGGTTAGGCCAGGCGAGCGAGGACGCCTAACTGTTACACGTGAGCACCTCCAGACTGTCTGTGAGAGAGAGAGAGATTAGGTTATTTAACCTAACCTAACCTAACTAAACCTTAACATAACCTAACCTTATGCAATAATCTAACTTAACCTTATACAGTTTAAGCTAACTTAACCTAACTTAACCTAACCTAACCTAACTTAATCTAACTTTACCTAACCTAACCTAACTTAACCTAACCTAACCTAATCTAACCTAACGAAAGCAAACGTAAACTAACTTAGTTTCATACTACATTACCCTCCGGGTGGAAGGGACGGGAGGTAACTAGAAAACTATGAAAACTTTCCGAGTCAAATTGCACACAACTGTAACAGGTAAACTACATATACACAACTGAACTTGTAATACAAGCACAATATTACACATGTTAATATGACCTTAGGAGCGGGTGACCTCTTACGATAAAACCAGACAATTGGAGAGTATGTTGAGATATATCGTGCGTGAGGTCACTAGCAGACCCAGAGAGGTCAAGGACAGTTAACATGCTTGTTTCCCCTTACAGTCTGTCTTCCCCCCCCCCCCCGCCTTGTTCTCTCTGATGATTGGTCCTTCATAGTCTCCCACTCTTACTCTCTCTCATCACTCATCTCTTTTTCTTTAGCAGCTAAAACATTCATTCGAATATCACTGACTATTTTCTGGGTGTCACTACTATGTGCGTTTAATACCAGGAGTGCACTCTGCGAGTCACAGTATATAAGTCCACTGCCTTTGTCTTTTAAAAATTCCGTGGCAAGGTATATGCCTGCAAGTTCGGTTTGAGTTGTACTTGCCCAATCATTGACGCGCTTCATTGCTGTATGTACGAGAGAAGATTGTTCAAATATATTGCATGCACAACCGGTACATCGTCCACCTTCTTCTACAAAGCTGTCGGTACAGCACTGATACACATCGTTACCCATACTCAGTAAATCACTGAAAGAATACTTTCAGTGATGCTTTTCAGTGTTAACTGTTTTAATAATGTAGAGTGCACACTATCTTTCTTGGGCGCATTTACAAAATCAACTGATAGATCCCAGTTATCCCATGGAGTATGACCAGACCACACACTAGAAGATTACCACCTGTGGATGGTAGATGACGTAGGATACCACCAGTAGATGGTAGATGACGTGGGATACCACCTGTAGATGGTAGATGACGAGGATTACCACCTGTAGATGGTAGATGACGTAGGATACCACCTGTAGATGGTAGATGACGTAGGATACCACCTGTAGATGGTAGATGACGAGGATTACCACCTGTAGATGGTAGATGACGTAGGATACCACCTGTAGATGACGTAGGATACCACCAGTAGATGGTAGATGACGTGGGATACCACCTGTAGATGGTAGATGACGAGGATTACCACCTGTAGATGGTAGATGACGTAGGATACCACCTGTAGATGGTAGATGACGTAGGATACCACCTGTAGATGGTAGATGACGAGGATTACCACCTGTAGATGGTAGATGACGTAGGATACCACCTGTAGATGGTAGATGACGTGGGACGCCAGAGTAGAGGGGCCACCTCACCAACAAGGGGCGCCACCATCACCTCGTGAGCCCGCCAGACGGCTCATAATGACACTAACGACCGCTGATGCCTTCCCTACAACCTGTCCTCACATTTAGTGCACCCAATTCTCACGCTGTTAACCAAGACAACACACCAATCAGGAACGCTGCTGGCCAAGCTAAACCACTGTAAACTGGACGTTCGTCCTTCACCGCTGACCCTCCCTGGAACACGGCTCAGGGGTTATGCCCTTAGCCCTCGGACCCTGCGCTGTGTTCAAGCGATACATGTATAACTGTATACATGTATACATGTATTTCCACAGTCCTGAACGAGTATACACGGTACAGCCATTTTGCTGTAAGCTCAACCAGCAACTAGCTGCAAAATACATTAAACTGCTGTCAAATACATTAAACTGCTGTCAAATACATTAAACTACTGTAAAATACATTAAACGGCTGTAAAATACATTATACTGCTGTCAAATACATTATACTGCTGTAAAATTCAATAAACTGCTGTACAAATACATTATACTGCTGTCAAATACATTAAACTGCTGGAAAATACATTAAACTGCTGTAAAATACATTAAACTGCTGTCAAATACATTAAACTGCTGTCAAATACATTAAACTGCTGTAAAATACATTAAACTGCTGTAAAATTCAATAAACTGCTGTAAAAATACACTATACTGCTGTCAAATACATTAAACTGTTGTAAAATACATTAGAGTGCTGTCAAATACATTAAACTGCTGTCAAATACATTAAAGTGCTGTAAAATACATTAGAGTGCTGTCAAATACATTAAACTGCTGTCAAATACATTAAACTACTGTCAAATACATCAAACTGCTGTAAAATACATTAAACTGCTATAAAATACATTTAACTGCTGTCAAATACATTAAACTTCTGTCAAATACATTAAACTTCTGTCAAATACATTAAACTACTGTCAAATACATTAAACTGCTGTAAAATACATTAAACTGTTTTCAAATACATTAAACTGCTGTCAAATACATTAAACTGCTGTCATACCTGGGATCTTCCATATTTCTGGTAGGTCTCCCGTTTCCAGTGACTTACTATACACTTTGGAGAGTGGCAAACAAAGTGCTCCTGCACACTCTTTCAATACCCATGGTGAGATTCCGTCTGGACCAACAGCCTTTCTCGCGTCCAGCTCCAATAGGTGCCTCTTGACCTCATCTCTTGTAATTTCGAACCCTTCCAAGGTCGCCTGGTTTGATTGGTTTACAGACACACGTGGAACCTATATATGATACACATTCCGGAAACACAGACACACAGCAAACACAGTGATCATTAGGAACACAGTCTCTCCTGACTATGATTTTTGGGAATTTTCCGTGCATGTTAATTAGATATTTCCATAAAACTATTCAAGTTGGAATATAATCTTACTTCCCTCAGCTACTCTCACGTGCAGGGGCCACGGGCTGAAAAATAACAAACTTTTTAATACGTCTTAAAAAAGAGTATAGACCATTGTTTAAAAGAACGTAACTTTCCCAACATTTGGTAAAATATAAAACAAGAAAAAAAAACCGATTCTCAAATCCAAATTGTGTACCATGCCAGCTGACAACTTATGTGAGTAACGTGGCAGCCATAGTTGTCAGGGGCCAGATTCACGAAAGCACTTACGCAAGCACTTACGAACGTGTACATCTTTACTCAATCTTTCACGGCTTTGGTTACATTTATTAAACAGTTTACAAGCATGAGAACTTGCCATTAAACTGTTGTTATTGTTATAAACAGCCTCCTGGTGCTTCCGAGCTCATTAACTGTTCAATAATTGGAAACAAAGCCGCCAAAGATTGAGGAGAGATGGACAGGTTCGTAAGTGCTTGCGTAAGTGCTTTCGTGAATCTGGCCCCTGCCTTCTACACCTTCTCCATTAGAAGTGACTGGAGGTCACTTGAGAGCTGCAGCGCGCAGTACGACACGCTGGGCTAGAGTGTGGTGGCAGTAGGAGGCGGCCAGTGACAGTCAGAGTGTTGCCCTGGTGTCCACTGTGAACGTCAGCACCTCTCTCCCTGGACCTATATTCTACCACTGCTAACTGTAAGTGACTTTACACATTTTATTTCAAACTACAATGGAGAAAGGTTTCTAAGCATAAATAGTGAGGCTCGAGGAGTGTAGAGTGTTCTTAGCATACGTTGGTTATGTGCTCTGGGAGGAGGGGGGGGGGGTGAAGACAAGTTACAAGTTTATAAAAAATGTAAGTGTCTGTGAGGTTGGAACGAGTCGGGCAACCTCACAGGTCAACTACTCTGACCCGCAATGACTCAACTTAGCGTCACTTACAAGCAATCAAAAATGTTGGCGCGATCTGAAAAACTTATCGTCTGTGTGACTGTCCTCTGACGGAGTGTGTCTGGTCTCTTCCTGCCGTGGCTGAGTGTGTCTGGTCTCTTCCTGCCGTGGCTGAGTGTGTCTGGTCTCTTCCTGCCGTGGCAGAGTGTGTCTGGTCTCTTCCTGCCGTGGCTGAGTGTGTCTGGTCTCTTCCTGCCGTGGCTGAGTGTGTCTGGTCTCTTCCTGCCGTGGCTGAGTGTGTCTGGTCTCTTCCTGCCGTGGCTGAGTGTGTCTGGTCTCTACCTGCCGTGGCTGAGTGTTTCTGGTCTCTCCCTGCCGTGGCTGAGTGTGTCTGGTCTCTCCCTGCCGTGGCTGAGTGTGTCTGGTCTCTACCTGCCGTGGCTGAGTGTTTCTGGTCTCTACCTGCCGTGGCTGAGTGTTTCTGGTCTCTACCTGCCGTGGCTGAGTGTTTCTGGTCTCTACCTGCCGTGGCTGAGTGTGTCTGGTCTCTTCCTGCCGTGGCTGAGTGTGTCTGGTCTCTTCCTGCCGTGGCTGAGTGTGTCTGGTCTCTTCCTGCCGTGGCTGAGTGTGTCTGGTCTCTTCCTGCCGTGGCTGAGTGTGTTTGGTCTCTTCCTGCCGTGGCTGAGTGTGTCTGGCCCCTACCTGCCGTGGCTGAGTGTGTCTGGTCTCTTCCTGCCGTGGCTGAGTGTGTCTGGTCCCTACCTGCCGTGGCTGAGTGTTTCTGGTCCCTACCTGCCGTGGCTGAGTGTTTCTGGTCCCTACCTGCCGTGGCTGAGTGTGTCTGGTCTCTACCTGCCGTGGCTGAGTGTGTCTGGTCTCTTCCTGCCGTGGCTGAGTGTGTCTGGTCCCTACCTGCCGTGGCTGAGTGTTTCTGGTCCCTACCTGCCGTGGCTGAGGGCCCCTGGTCTCTACCTGCCGTGGCTGAGGGCCCCAGGTCACTACCTGCCGTGGCTGAGGGCCCCAGGTCACTACCTGCCGTGGCTGAGGGCCCCAGGTCACTACCTGCCGTGGCTGAGGGTCCCAGGTCACTACCTGCCGTGGCTGAGGGCCCCTGGTCTCACTACCTGCACTGGTGTAAGACAGGAGAGGTACACCAGGCCAGGAGAGACGGGGAACATCACGAGGCCACCCTCCGACCTGCGCCTACTGGACCAGACCGTTCTCGCCAGTGTTCACAACAAACAATATGCTAAAATACTTAACCCAACCTTAGCTGTTGTTGTTAAAGATTCGCTACTTGGAACAAAAAGTTTTAAGTAACACGGGCTATGGTGAGTCCGAAGACCACCCTTAGCCTATTGACCACGCATAGTGTCTTGCTGGTTGCTGGCGAGTGTCTGAGCCGCTATAATTGATGGTACCTCTTTATTTGTCCGTTCGGCACTTCATGTGGCATAAACAAGTGGTTAGGCCGGATTAACGAGCATTTGGCTATTATTGATGCTACCTCGTGCTAGACTCGTCCAAGCGGCGGCCAACCCCAGAGCAGTTCAGCAATTCAGAGCATTTAAAATTAAGCAATTTTAACATGCTGTATACAATTTGTTTTCTCTTAAATATATATTATTATACATTAGAAGTCTATGTATAATTAGGTTTATTATGTAAGGTTAGGGGTTTAGGAACTATTGGCAGTTATTAGCATACTGTGAATGAATCTTTTTACGGTATTGGTATTCGAACATAGGACGTCAACGAAGCCTTTCTTAAGAAATTTTCGAAAGTCATGAGCTGTGTGTAGCCCGTCCTCCAGCCCGTCCTCTAAACAAAGATCCAAAGTCCATTCCATGCACCCGCCAAACCCCCCTGTTTATGAATGAAAAACGGTTTACACACGACTCACAACTGATGACGTCCGAACACTTCCGGAACAAGTGCTTCACTGACGACTTTTGTTCGAACCCCAACGCTGTAAATGTTTCACCCACGTACTACAAATACAAATAATCGCCAACAGACCCTAAATACCTAACCTAATCTACGCTTAACTATACATAGAACTATAATATAAAATATTAACATATAAGAACAAATTTATTTTAATACACATTGCTAAATGCTTCTTGAGCGACGGCCGCAGCTTTAACGAGCCTGGCTCGAGGACGGGTTGTGCATAATATGTTTTCATTCATAAAAGTGTGGCGACGGCTAGATTAACGAGCACTTGGTCATTGCTGACGAGAAGTGAGTGCTTACTACACAGCTACTGGGAGGCCAGGCCCGGGAGCCAGCGCCTCACACACCTGACCTCCACACACCTGCCCACTCAACCCGACCTCCTAACTAGCAATTTGACATCAAAATCCTGATCGGATATACATCATAGCTGCAAATAAACATTCAGATCACCCATCCACTTGGGCTGGGCGGTAGAGCGACGGTCTCCCTTCATGCAGGTCGGCGTTCAATCCTCGACTGTCCACAAGTAGTTGGGCACCATTCCTACCCCTCCCCCCCCCCGTCCCATCCCAAATCCTTATCCTGACCCCTTCCCAGGGCTATATAGTCGTAATGGCTTGGCGCTTTCTCCTCATAGTTCCCTCCCCCCTCATCCCGGAAGTTATATCCTAGGCCTAGTAATACTCGGAATTATAATATACATTAATTTTTATTTATATTCCACCAAATTTTGTTTTGGGTTGCAAGGGGTTGGGTGTGCTTGGACCAACGTAGCTTAAGGGTGGCTTACTCACGCTCCTCAAGTGTGTAACATTGTAAACAAGTATAAAAATTCTTTATAATATAAATTTATAAAAGAAAAAGTAAATATTTTTTATTATATAGTACGAAAGCAAATTGATGAATACGCCTTAGAAGACTGCAGCCTTGAATGAGCACAGCCTGGGGGATAGAGTGGATAGTAAACATGACACAGTTACTGTGATGGTTGGGACGTAACGACAGCAAGTGACTAATCATCACCCCGATCATTGTCACCCATCACACAAGGTCGTGTAGGAACCATGGCGTCGCCAATAATTATATACTAGTCAAGAAGAGCCTGGAGGCTACAAGAGTGTTCGCCAGGGCCACCAGGAGCTGCTGGGGGCTCTGGAAACACACGGTGAGGTCTGGAGAGGTCCTGGAGGCCTAGGTCCTGGAGGCCTAGGTCCTGGAAAACCCGCGGAGTACAGATTCTGAGGGAGGCCTCAGGGAGGGAGGAACGGTAGTGATGATCGTGTATAGTGAAGGTTGTGTATAGTGAGGACCATGTGCAGTAAAGATCTCGTATGGTGAGTGTGTATGTGTAGTGACTTCAGTAATTGGTCGTCAGGCCACGAGAAGAAAAACTATGAATTTTGAACTACTGTCAATATAAACAAATCCACAAGGGCCGTGACGAGGATTCGAACCTGCGTCCGGGAGCATCCCAGACACTGCCTTAATCGACTGAGAAAAAAAAACTATGAAGTTTTTGAAAATGAAAATGAAAAAAAACTATGAAGAAAAACTATGAAGACTACACTTACAACGAAACACTCGTCAAGTTTCCGAACATAAAGTGGGTCGGCTGTTGTGTACACTGTCAGTTGCATAGGTAAGCTCGCAGCGGCTTAGGGCCCAGAGGCGTAAACTAATGGGTTATGGGCGTTGTTCCCTGCCGCCTCATGGGTACCCCCCCCCCCCACATCCCCTTGACCTCACCATTGGAGTCAATATTTTGTTAAGTAAACACAAGGTTGTACTGACAGTGGGGCGAGTGGTCCCAGGCCTTAGTAAGAATACCAGATACACGAAAAGATGTGTGACGTCTTAAGACAGGTGAGGGATTAACGCCAGAGGGAGTCTTTAAACATGAGGGAGTGTCCATATTAAGTGTAAATGACGGCCAGACACGCTTATTATATGAATAAATGAATAAATTAGGAGTTTCATAATTACTGTTTCCGTCACCATCCGCCACTGTCGTCACCATCCGCCACTGTCGTCACCATCCGCCACTGTCGTCACCATCCGCCACTGTCGTCACCATCCGCCACTGTCGTCACCATCCGCCACTGTCGTCACCATCCGCCACTGTCGTCACCATCCGCCATCTTTTAAAAACACAATTTCTCTTCTTAATCCGATGTTTCTTGCTTCGTTTTTTTTTTTTACCATTTTCTTTACCCTCGATGTCTCGTATCACCTCCAAGGTGTCTACCCCCCCCCCTAGCATCACCATCTTCACCACACGGGGGGAGGGACAGTAGTGGTGATGCTCCCACACTGTCACAACATGTACTCCCAGAGGGCTGGACCCTGCATGACTGTGTACTGTGTATTCCCACTGTATATTCACATGCGGTCACTGTAAGCCTTAATTATCAAGCCTTAATTAATATGTCAATATCCTAACCTTAATTATTAACCATACAGAGGTCGATAAGCCTAAAGCCCAACACCACACCCATCTTGTAATGTGATAGGCCTACACATTATAAAAAAGTACATAACATTAAAATGAGGACAGTTTGGAGCCTGCCTCCTGTATCATCGCTCTCTTATTGGTGTTCGAATACTTGTTTGTGCTCTGTATATAGGCCTAGGGTGCCTCGTTCGGCTGTGTAGGCCTAGGGTGTTATATTCTGTTGTGAATATTAGCCTCGGGTGTCTCATTGTGCACAATATAGGCCTAGTGTGCTTCCTTGTACTTTGTACGTAGGCTTAGGGGTGCCACTTTGTGCTGTGAACATAGGCCTAGTGTCTCGTTTTGCTGTGAATATAGGCTTAGGGTTTCTCATCGTGATGTCATTGTGATATAG